GGAAACTCGGCCTGAGCCTCGGGAGTGCGACCGGGGGCTGCAGCGTGGGCTGCTGAGTGTTTAATAGCAACAGGAATTATCTACGAGTTGCTTCATCTTTCCGGTTATAAATGCCTCGGTGAGTTAGGAGCTCTGTTGGGCTGAGATTACAGGTAGCTGTACTTTTTTATTTTTTTTTTTCCTCCCCCCAAGATACCTTAGAAAATCAGGTTGATAACAGGAGTCACTTTGCTCGAAGTTTATGTCTTGTTTAATGTGCTAAAGCTGACCAGGATTATTATATTTTTAGAACTGTTCACCACAACTTAAATTAAAAAAAAACAAAATCTGGTTAGACACCAAGATGCATCTGAGCATTCACAATTAGAAACACAGCTAAACATGCCTAATGTCCTTTATTTCAACAACACCAGGGAGACAGGCAATGAACTTTCACAGTATTCACGTGGGTCGGTTTCATTTCTCCTTGTACTCAGATAAAATATGAACGAGTAGAAAAGAATAAGCCAAATAGAAAATAGAAGAAAAAGCATCTCTCTGCATTTTTACTGGGAGATATTCTAAGTGCGAACTGAAGGAGTCGCTAGATATCCTTGCTTTCAACACTAGGTGTTCTTTTTAAAGTGCTCCAGTAGTCAAATCGTCTGATTGAATTCCCTGCTAGACTGCAGAACTAGCCATTCATGATACTTATTTTTGACACTGCAGTTATGCCTCCATCTTAAGGAAAAAAAAAATCAATGATGTTTAATAATCCCCTAGCAGAATGTACATTTCTTTTCATCAGCGTTTTACAGTGTTTTAACTAAAAGTGTGCAGAGGAAATCAGTAAGGCAAAATGATAAAAAGTTACTGTGAATTGCTAACACTTTCAGGGATATGGAGCACCAACACTACAGGTTATAATCCAAATGCTGCTGTTACTTGCTTACATGTCTGCAATACACATATGTTATTTCAGAATAAACTGTAACTCACCTTTGCCATGCTCTGATTCTGATAGATTCCACAGAGTGTTCTCATTAGCTTGGCATCATCGGTATTTATTTCTGTAAAGTCAGGTTTATTCTGTGTTCATCTGTATGTATCTGTGGGGGAAGACTCGCAGTGATATTTTCTTTAGCAGTAAAAAGCAGAGAGGGAGATAAAGGAGACAAAAGATGTCTGTAGGCAGAATGTAGAATAAAATGAATTCATTTGCCTGGTGGGAAATACAAGAATTATCTTTTAGTGTTTGTAATAAAGCTTAAGTAGGTTCAGCAAAAGCTTCACTTAGGTTGCAAAGTCTGACAGTTCTGGTTCAATGTATTTCAATGGATACAGGGACACAACTAATTGTATTTCCAAGGAAAATCTAAAGTAGTCCACAGAATGAGTTTATCTTCTTTGGAACACCTGGCCAAAAGACAAAAGTCTGTGGCTGCATTTGCAGATATAAACTCACTATCCTATTATCAAACTGGGAAGTGCTATTGTTCTCACTGAGAACTGCAAAATGACAAACTACATAGATCTCTCAGTACGGGGAGGAACAGCAGCATTTCCATAATACTAGAGTGCAAAATAAGAGAGTGGCAGAGTAAAGTGAAAATTATGAACTAGTAAATCCCCAAGTTTCTGTCTTTTAAGCAGCATTGCAATTTCAAGCAAGTTTAGCGAAACAGGTCTGTGCATTCAACAAGGTTTTTGCAGCGCAGCCGATTCCTGTTTACCTTGCCCCAGCAGGCTGCTGCTCCGTAATCACTGGGGCCGGAGCAAGTTCCTAAGGACAGTCAGTGTACGAGCCATCGCATTTATGCTGCTTCATGCATTAACATGAGTAGCATTTAGTGAATGTAAATATCATGATTTTTTTTTTTAAAGCCTGAACGTTACTCTGATAACCTGCATGACTTTGTTGTCAGCCTTCTCTTTCACAACTCTAAAGCTAAGTGATTTCGACCCAGGCAGTCAGCTATTAAAATGCATGAATTGATTTTTACACAAGCGATTTCCTTCTCCCCTCTAGCACCCCATACCCCCCCAACCCTTCCCCCCCCCCATCCTTATAGCTATTGTTCAGAACAACTGAAATACTAATAACAATTAGAAGCATGTGAATAATGTAAATAAAGCCGAGCTGTTTTTTTTTTTCCTCCGACGAGGCTAGGCGATCAGATCGGTTGCATAATAGAAATTGGGAAGGCTGTCTGGCAGGCAGCCTTAAGCAGAGAAGAGCTATCTCAATTTCTCTCACTTAATCTTGGCTTCGCGTCAGAAGCTGTGCAGCAGTGCAGTAGAATGGGAGCACGGCAAAAGCTTCGCCAGTGAAACGGCTGATGCTCGCTATGTGGCGATACCTCAGCGATTTCTCGAGCAGGATTACCTATTGATTTTCCTCCTTTCTTGCCTCCCAGGTTTACCCGGCTGGACATTGTGTGTATTTGGATTTCTCAAGGATTCTCCCCCGACTAACATGGATGTCCCACCATTCCTTGCAGTTGAAGGTTGCTCCTTGGCGCAGTGAATGAAGAACATGCAGGGATTGCTAATGGGTTTGGGAAGCGTAGACTCTCTCTTCTCTCTGTGACCATGCCGTGATCGCGTCTGAGGGCCATCAGTTTACGTATCCTCATTCTCACCCTACCGGGAAACCTGACGGCTTAGAAGGGGGAAGTAAGGCAGCGCTTGTGTGCATAGAAACATCATGAAGATTATTTCCCCTACTGTAACTAATTCAGTCTTCAGATGCACCATTAGACTCCTTCTTTGCTTACTGTGGATTGGATATTCTCAAGGAACCACACATGTATTAAGATTTGGTAAGATTTGCCGACACTTTTTTCATTGTGCGTTTAAGCCTGAATGTGCTATACATAGGATTGACTCAGAAGCGGGTGCTGGGGGAGAGCTGGGACGCGCTACCGGAGTCGGGCACCGAAGTCCCTCTTTATTTTGCATCCGGAGGGATGAATTGCTGTGTGGTTTTGGTTTTTTTTTTTTTTTTTTTTTTTTTTTTCTCTCGCTGCAGTTCATTGTAGCCGTAGTAACGGCACGATGATGATGATAATTATAATAACAATACAAAAATGACTGGTAAACGTTGTTGCCTGAGGCTCTGCTCAGCTTGCGTGGTTTGCTCAGAATGTAGCTTTATTGTTTCCATAGTAAGGGTAAGCATGGCTAATACGCTACTTGATCAGTTTAAAACCTGTCAACTAGTTGTTAAGTTTCGGCCGCTCGTCTCTGATTCCCCCGAACCGCTCCCGGGCTTTTTTTTTGAGCCGCTCCCGGGCGAGCGCAACGCTGTGATTTGAGACCTTTGGACTGATTTCCCTTGAAACGTCTGTCTACTTGCTTGACACTTGAGTGGCATTTAGGGTCAGAGAAGAGATGATTTATGTCTTGAGTCGTGAAAGAGCTTGTGAGGTACCTTTAGAAAGGTCAGCTTTTCTAAGCGAGGAAAGTTGTATGAGTTCTCGCCTTACCTGCGGGAGGGGGAGTGGGGGGGTGGGGGGTGGAGGAAAGTAGATCAGAATGAAATTCAAGGAGGTTAGCAGTTTACAGATTATCCCATCTGAACCGTGGCACTAACCTTAAGAGCTTTGCCTGTGCATGCGCGCGTGTGTGCTTGTGTGTATAAGCAAGCGAGCGAGGGAGAAATTCCAGCCGCTGCATCCCCTTGCAGAAGTTTTGCAGTGAGGAAAGGCAGGACGGAAAGTTACCCACAGGTCCGAGGGGGGTTGTACGGCCGGGGGAAGTCCTCCGGCTCTAGTCCGGGGGGAGTCACGTCGGGTGCCCCCATCAGCATCCTCCTGGTCCCCCGGGAGCCGCGGGGCGGCGGAGGGGGCAGGCTGAAAGTTGCTTCCCCAGACCAGCGGCGTTTTCGGTGCCTGCCGGCAGCAGGGATGGAGGGAGGGAGAGAGGATCCACGATACTGCAGCAGCCGCTGGATCCGTTTCTTGGGGCACTGAAAGCTCTTGTCTTTGCCTGGGAGTAGTGCCTTGGCTTGTGTCCCCCCTGCACGCACTTTTATGTGGAGGGGAAGATGAGTAATGATTAAAAAGTCACCAGGCTGTTACCGCTCGCGTGTGCTGAATTCCTAGTAGCACTTATTTTCTGCTTCCATCTGGTCTAAAGGTGGTGCTTATGGCACGTTGCTCTTAGCAACCGTCTTCAGGAATGCTTGTTTCTTTGGACATGGTCGGTATATCATTGTGGGGTCTGTTTTGCAAGCAGTCTGATCCATAATCATGCCCGTGAATTTAGTGCTAGGGCTGCCTGTAATCTGGCACTGCCAGACTGTCATTCCACGAGTCGGGATTCCTAACCGGTGCCAAGGGTCGGTCTCTAGGGGGTCTGAGTTACTCTCAAGGGTAGTTATGTATACAAATATCATCCCGGCCACAGCACTAGCAAGAGGGAGACTTTCCTTCTTTAGAATACATTCCCTCAGAATTGTTAGTCCAGCGTACCTATAGGATACAGCCCTGGAGAGCAGTGATTTGGCAATATTTAGAAAAATAAACAGTCCCGAGGCTGAAAGGTGATGGAGTAGGACTCTGGTGCCCAGTGACATGGTGCCACATGTGTTTCACGGGGCTAACTTCAGCTGCATCCTGGGGACACTTCTGACCAAGGGGTTGTGCTCACTCCATTGTTTGCAGCAGCGCAGTAGGAATCTGCTTCTGCATCACCGCGTACTTTTTCTTGTCTTTCAAAAGAATTATCGCCAAGACATCACTGAGTCTTAGAAGTAGGTAGGGAGCGGTTGGTTAGTTTGTTTTATTCTGGAGAATGTTAGGCTTGAGAAAGCACAAAGAAGACTTTTGCCGTGCTCATCCCGGCCTGTTGCACATCTCTGTTTAAAGGAGTCTGGATTTAGCCTAGTCTAGGTGTAGAGTGACTCTCTCTGTGACTGCGAGAGAACTCCTGCTCCTTCCCCAGAGGCTGACAGCTCTGTCTCCGTGTAGGGCATGGCAGGGAGGAGGGAAGGAGCTTGGAGTGAGCTGTGGAAAAGCCCTGATTATTTCTGAAGGGGAATTCCACGCCCCCCTCCCCCGGGGTTCCCGTGTTATCTGTCCCCTCGGGATGTCCTTGCGACCAGGAGGACGGGATGCTGAAGCCTTCCCGAGGAGAAACAAGAGCTGAGGAGATTCCCTCCAGAAGGCAGCCTGCCAGCCCCCGCTCTTCTTCCTCAGCCAGCAGCGCTATGGCAACAGGGGAGAGCTTGAAGCCTGCCAGAGCTGCAGCCCCCTCATTCCTCCTGTGCAAATTAACCACCAAGGATTCGCATTGTCCTTCCCACGGCTCCTCTCATTGTTGGGACTAGCCAGCATGTCCTTTCTCTCCCTCTTTCTCGTTCTCAAGCTACCTTTTAGCAACGACACAGAGAAGTTGAACCACCTGGGTTACCTGTCAAACGAGGGAGGTTATTTCTGCCTGTGCCTTATGGAGCAAACACGGGGAGAGTCTGGGGCGATGGCATCGTTCCCTCCCCAGAGATATTCGCTCAGGCATCTGGACACTCGCCTGCTGATGCTGCTGGATCTGGGCAACATGGTATTCGGGCATCACACCAGGTGCCCTTCCTAAATGACACTTCACTTCATGGGGCATGCGACCGAGCTCTCTCCCTTGCCCTTTCTGAACAGCTTCCCATAATCAGTCCCAGGAAAGAAGGTGAGGCTTCTGCCTACAGTACTCGAGGGTGTCAAATAGGAACAATCCTAAACCATTGCTACGGATAAAAGGACAGGTCCCATGTTGAGAAGGGAGAAAAGCAGCAGCCTAATATTTGTCTCTCCGCTGTGCTAAGTGTGATGGAAACCTTTTCCTTATCGCTTGGCACCGAACAAAAGCCAAAATACGTGAGCGCCAGCAGATCGTTCCGTTATCGGGGATCGCGTTTCACTCTCGAATCACTGCTCCTGTGTAAGGGCAGCGGCTCCCAGGAAATCCCAGGGAGCTCTGCGGATCAGAGCCCAGCCGAGCCAACCCTCTGCCACCTCGGGTTGTGCCCCTGCCTGTTCGTGGGCTCCCTCGGTCTGCCTTTATCTCCTGAGGACATCCCAGCACCTTATCCCCGTAAGGCTGAATTAACAAGCCATTAAGAGCTGTCAACTATCAGCAATTGCTCACCCCTTTTGTGGTTTTTTTTTTTCCCCTCCCAGAAACCTGCCCCTGGTCTTGCCCAAGGCAGTAAAAGCTTGGCTATTTAAATCCTCTCTTTTCCCACCTACTACTACACGGATCATGAATGTCAGCTTTTTGAAGTCTGGAGAGCTCTAAAATGCCCTTTTTTTATTTAAACCGCCCATTTTCGGCCTTGTCTCTAATGCTGTGAGAAATTCGTCTTTCCTACAGCAAAGGTGTGAAGAAGGACCTGTGACTGGAAGGTGAAAGCGTTTGGTCATTGCGTTTTCTCCTTTTCTCTGGGGTAACTCATTATTCGTGGAAGCTTGGTGAATGACTAAAGACCTCCACAGCAGGGGGCTCAAAGGCCTGATGAGTGTTAACCCGCTTTGTGTGATGTTTTGTTTTCTTCAGCACATTCAAGAAGAAGGGTAAAGACAAGTAGAGGCCTATACCTGTAGTTTTGACTTTTTGTTGCTATGGAGTTGCCTGACTTCAAGCAGATGAGGAAGGGAGCTGAACGTTTCGTGTTACAATGAACTATAAAGGAAGGGGGTGTGTGAGCGTGTGGCTTCTTCCAGCTTTAAAGCAAAAGAAAGTCAAAAGAGAGTTGGGAAAAACTTTTCAAGGAACAAAACTCTTACCAGAAACATTTCTTACTACTGGCTACTTTTAAAAATTCTAATTTTTTTTTTTCTAAAAAGCCTCCACACCCAACCCTCATACAGCCTAGGGCTTTCCCAATGCCCTACATATAACAGTAATTATAGCAAATCAAACCTTATATAATCATGTACTCTTTGGGACTTGCAAAAAAAACCCCAAAACCTAATATCTCAATTCATTGTTGGAACCCCGAGAGGAGAATTGCTAGATGCTTGAGTCTTACTCTGTGAAGGTTTACCACGGGTTTCATCTGATATAATTCTTAGGTGAGCTCCTTGGGCTCAAGTAGGTTGAGTTCATGTCCATATAATTATTTTTATGGCATCGAGTGTGGCAAAATGCTGTCGTGTCCAGTGCTTGTGCAGTTGCCAGAGTCTGTCAAACCACAGATTTCTGGGATTCAGGAGACTATTTAAAAATTGAGGCAATTCAAACCAGAGAAGTCATGGCACAACAGTGGGAGCATGTCTCTGTAGAAATGTATGAGATGAGAGTTCAAGTGAAAAGCACTTGCTGGGTAATCGTGTAGAGTTTCTTAAAGGACCTGTATTAGCTCTCCTGGCTGTGTGCTTTCTTTCCTTTGGGTTTGGCATTGACACCCTTTTAGAGGAGGGAGGTTAGCTTTCTGCCTGTGTTTGAGAGAAATGAGAAAATGTACGTATCTGGTTTTAGCAGCAATCTGCCTTCAGATTAAGAGTGAGAGGAAAATCTGCAAGCCAAACACTTGTGGCAGCCCTCGGTGGTCTGTGCCTCGGCAAGTCCAGAATTCAGAGCTGATGAAAAACTTACTGCCAAGGACAAGAGCCTTTCAATATCTGTTAACATCCTCACGGAGAGGAGTTCAAAATCAGTCTTATAAACAACAACAGAAATCTTTGAAAGAAGAGTGAGGTTAAGAGCCTCGGGAAGGCAGCAAGGAGGTGAGAAGCATTGTTATTGACTGGTCTAGATTAAACAGCACAGAGGAAGATTTCAATTTGATAACGTCACAGCCCTTCCTGTTTTTCTTTGCTGCTTCTGC